TGTGTAAAATAGAAGGAAACCAATTATATTGAAATGTAATTATAGTAATCTTAAAATTATGTGTTTACAATTGTGTATATTTTTCTAATGTATTAAATAATAAGATCTAGTGGAAGTACAGTCCCGATGAGTGCTATCCTTTCAGAGTGATGAGCATAGGGATGTACCCAGATGTCTGCACCAATGGTATATGGTGCTATGGAAATAACACAGAGGGACTGTGGTTTGCTGTCTTCATTTTTTTTTTAAAGATTTTATTTGTTTATTCATGAGAGGCACAGAGAGAGAGAGAGAGAGAGAGAGAGGCAGAGATACAAGCTCCATGCTGGGAGCCCAATGTGGGACTCGATCCCAGGTCTCCAGTATCATACCCCGGGCTGAAGGCAAGTGCTAAACCACTGAGCCACCTGGGCTGCCCTTCATTTTTTTTTTTTAAGATTTTTTCATTTTTGAGTAATCCTTACACCCAACATGGGACTCAAACTTACAATCTTGTGATCAAGAGTCCTACCAACTGAGCCAGCCAGGTGCCCCCCCCCTTTGCCTTCATTCTTTAATGAAAGAAAATGGCCAATTTTAGTTAGAGGTTAACGGAGCAAGTTCCTGAGCCCCTGAGTTCTGCCCGGGGGCCCTTGTGCAGGGAGTGCTAAGTGAAGGGGAGCCGGGTAAATGCAGTACTGAGTCTGAGAAAAGAGGTGCTTACCACAGTCCCCACCAGCCCACATCCTCAGAACCAGATTAAAATGTAAATGTCCAGTAAATATCCACCATCATGTGTTGGCAGAGTCATGGAATCATAAGCTTCCAGAACTGGAAGGCCAGATGCCCTTTTGTAGATGCTCCTGTTGGGTGATCTGGCTCTTGGCCTGTTTGCACACCTCTAGGGTCGAGGAGCACACTCTCATTCCAGGCTGGATAGCTCCAACTTGTCTGGGCAATGGTGACAGAAGTGAACCAGACCCCAGCTCTGCCCTCACGGCTCGAAGGTAGAGAAAGACAGGGACCCGACTGGAGCTAAAATACTTGCTTTATTCACTCACCATTCCTGGAGCTGCAGCTTCTGCTAGGCCCGAGGTAGGAACTGGAGATACTGAGATTTATGTTCATAAAGTATTTTGAGGTGTGTGCTCAGGTTCTGCACTCAGTACTAGTGTCCCGGGGGTGACATGGACACGATGCCTTCTCTCTGGGTAGACAGGCCTTAAATGAGTAAACACACAGGTCAGTATGTAGGGGCACCTGTGATCATGAGCGGGGGGCCCGGAAGAGTGACTTCACATGGGAGAGAAGGGGAGTCCAGGAAAGCTCCCTGGAGAAAAGTGACATTTAGGATATGACTTGGATGATGGGAGAGAGCCCGCCAGGCCAATAGGAGGGGAAGCATAGTGGCCCTGATGTGGGAAAGGGCTTGGCTGCTCTTAGGAAGAGAGAAGAGCCACTGGGGCCAGAGGAGGCGGGACAGGGGCTTAGGGCAGCTGGTAGGATCTGCAAGCCCACGCTAAGTTTGCATGTTATCTAAGAGTTGCTGGGAAGCCCATAAAGGGTTTAAGCCGGAGCTGCTTGACTAAATAAAACAAGGTATCCTGGAGCTCTCAGGCTTGCACCAAAGACATTAATGAGATGAAATACTATGAAAATGAGAAAGAAGCTTTTTTTTTTTTTGTATATTTTTTTTATTGGAGTTCAATTTGCCAACATATAACATAACACCCAGTGCTCATCCCGTCAAGTGCTCCCCTTGGTGCCCGTCACCCAGTCCCCCGTCACCCCGCCCACCTCCCCTTCCACCACCCCTTGTTCATTTCTGTGCCCTAAACACCCTTCTCCGATGTGTCTGCCTGCTTGTCCTCTCTCTGTCTGGATGTCTTCTTGGAACAGTCTTTCTTTCTTTTTTAAAAAAAGATTTTATTTGTTTATTTGACAGAAAGAAAGAGAGAGAGAGAGAGAGAGAGAGAGAGAACAAGCAGGGGGAGTAGCAGGCAGAGGGAGAGGGAGGAGAAGCAGACTCCTTGCCAAGCAAGGAGCCCAATGCGGAGCTCGATCCCAGGACCCTGGGATCATGACCTAAGCTGAAGGCAGACACTCAACCGACTGGGCCACCCAGTCTTCCTGCTTGGTCCACCAGTTCAGCTAACTTTTCTCCTCCAGCCGCCTCCTCCAGGATGCCTGCCATAACAATTTGGCTGGCTGTGACTTCTCCGCAGCACAGCCCTGAGCATGCCTGGGCACCGGGCCCAGCGTGGCGGCCTGTTGACATGTCAGTGTCCACCTCCTCTTCCTCCAAACCACCCCTGGAAGGGGGCGGAAGTGGGGGGCGGGAGGGAGGGGAAGTTGCAGAACCTTCAGGGCCAAGCTGGCCCCCTCCCGCCTTCCCCACCTGGCTGGGGCTGGGGCTGCACTCTGCCACCTGCTGGCAACTGCTGCAATGGCAGGCCGGGTGGCTCTGGGGGAAGGCCCCTGGGGAGGTCTAGGCCCACTTGAGCTTTTCGGAAGGTGACCACACAGTGGGGACCTGTCCCCGGGGGCCTTGGTGATTCAGGGTGGAGAGTGGCACCAGGAGGGAGGAGCTGAGTGTTGATGGAGCAGCGGCTCAGAGATGAGGCCACGGGGTCCAGCCCTGCAGAGCTCCTGAGGCCTGAGTTTGGATCTTGGGCCCCGCACGAGACCAGCAGGGAGCCTAACTCATTACCAGGGGGACCCAGGGCCATGTCCCTGCAGCTGGGGAGGTGACACCCCTCAGCAGGATGAGGACGCCCGGAGAGCAGAGAGCAGCCTCAAAGCCAAGTGTCCACCCACACTCCCTTTTTCCGGAACAACTTGTTTTGCTCTAAAGCTTAGGACTTTGACCTGGGAGGTGTGTTTTCCTCCTGTCGGTCACCTGATGTCCTTCCTGCTCATCCCCCTGCCCCAGCACCCACCCCAAAACATGCCGGCAGGAGTCAGTGTCCTTCCCTGGGTTCTTGAGAGGGAGGCAGGATGTGGTACCTGGGGACTGATGGGGGGGCTACTTCTGGGGGGCATTCCCTGGGGGCGTGTTACAACAGAGACCGCCCTGCCCAGCTCTTACCTGGGTGTCTCCTTCCTGGGTTTCTGGGACATCTTGCTCCTCTGAGGTTCCTTCTCCTGCTCTAAGTTGTTCTTCTTCCTTTTTAAAGACCCTTATGATTGGGACTGTGTGCTGGTCCCTGGATTCTATCCTTCCTCTTGCTCTCCTCTTGCCACCCCCCCACCCCCCCACCCCACACATACACCACACGTACCACCCACACATGTACCACACATTGTGCATCACACACTACACTCATGCACACACATACATATACACATCACACACACATTCACGCCATGCACACTACGCACACAGCACGCACACAGCACGCACACACCACACACAGCCTGGGGAGACCACACAGTCCTGGGCCTCAGTTACCAGTGCTGTACCACACGTCTCTCTAGTTCTTTACTCCAGGCCCAGAATCCTGCCGCCTTTCCACTGTTTCCTTCTGGAGGGTCCGCAAGCGCGACACGGCTGAGCCTGTAGCTCTTCATCCCCCCACCTCTTCTGAGACCTGCTTCCGTCCCTTCCGAGGCACTGGGCATCACCCTCAGCACCTCCCTGTCCCCGCAGCCACTCCCGGCCAATCACTGCGTCCAGAAGCCACGTCCTGTGCACCCCACCTCCTAACTGGGGCTCAGGTGCATTGCCACAGCCCAGTGCTGCCAAGCCACTGGGTGTGGGGCTGCTGTGGGGGACCCCCCCTCTGCCGACCTTCTTTTCTGCAGCTCCTCCCCTCCCCTCTCTCCATTCTGAGGCCAGAGGTGTTTTCTCAAATCCGGACCTGCCACGTGGCTGCCCTGCTCAAAACTCTCCAAGGAGGCATCCTGACATTTATTAAATCCAACCCCATTCCTTGCATTCCAATTAGTGATTCCCTGGCTGTTTATTAACACAAATGGTGCCTACTGTAGCCAAACTGTGCCAGAAGATTCTGAGGACACCAGGTTGGGGCTAGGGAGGGAGAACAGGACATATGTGTATGTGTCACTCAAGTCCAAGCCAAGCTCCCCTAGATCACCGGAGGCACCCCATCTTTGGATGATAGCGGGGTGCCCTGCCCGAGATCGTGCATGCCCAGGAAGTAGGGCTGAGGCAGGACACCTGACTGCTGCCACTGACAGAACCATCCTGTGACAGAAGGGGTGGCCCACAAGGTCCTGTGAGCAGCAGTTTGGTGGCTTCTGGGCCAGGAGGCTGTGGAGGAGCTTCCAGTTTACGCCCTGGCTTCTGGGGACCCTCCATTTCTGAGACTTCACCCAGTATGTTGGGTCCTTCTTTCTAGGTGTCTGTGGAGTCAGACTCTCGGCATCTCTGGCTTCCTGTACTCCTGGGGAGGGGTGAGGGGGGGGACACCCAGTGTGACCCTCGGCCCCGGGCCTCAACAAGTACTTGGGTCATTCTTCACTCCTGAGCTGGAGGGCCAGATGGACTCCATGTGATCCTGGGGCTTGGGGCCCCAGATGGGATCCTTCCATCTGGGGATCTTTCTTCTGCCGGCACAGCAGGGCTGTGTTCACCCACTTGTCTCCCTGTGATGGGTGGAGGTGGGTCAGAGGGATATATAGAGGCCTCTGACCAAACCTGGGTCTTGTCCCAGGGAGGTTCCACCCAGCTTCCAGGAACCCCTCTGGGGCTGAGAGGAAAGCTGAACAGGACCAGGGCAGCTGGGCTGGGTGGGGAAGGCTGGGGACTGGGGCCCTCAGGCCCTCAGTCCGGAGCCCCATGAGAGAGGGTGGATGATAGAGCTACTGAGCCAGGCCAGGGATGGAGGGACAGAAGCCAGGGCTGTGTCCCAGGACTGGAGCCCCATGGTCTGGCCTGGCTGAGTAGGGACAGGTGAGGAGAAGAACAGGGAGTAGGCCTGGCCGTGGGCGGTCAGCTGTGACCTTTCCTAGCCTCTGGGGTTTTCTCCAAGCTCCTGCTCAGACAAACAGATTTCTTAATCCCACTGTCAGCCTTCCAAGACGCCCCGCCTGCAGGAGCGGCACTGTCACTCCTCTCCCCACAACCAGCCCCAGCCCCAGCCCAGCCCGCTGTGAGAAGAAGGGGGAGCTGACCCAAACTGGAGAGGCCTGGGGCTTGGCGGTGAGGCACCAACTCTCCTCACATCTCCCTCCTCCTCAGACCTGCTTTCTTAGCCAGCCTCTGAAAGATGACCTCGAGTGCCAGCTCGAGTGGGCCGGGCACCGACCTGGGAGGCCAGGCCTGGAAGCTCATTACCATGGGAGGGAGGGCAGTTTCTCTCCACTTCCCTTCCTTCCTCCTGTGCCTTTTTCCTTACTAGCTTCTCTCCTCCAGGGCCAGACTGAGCCCAAGGGGATCTCTGGCCCTCCGGACAGACCACACAGCTGCTCCAGGAGCCCAGATACCAGCTGCCAGAGAAGGCCCATAAGCTTCCTGCTGCCATGTCGGCTCTCACCCTGCTCATTCTGGGTCTGTTCACGGCAGTGCCACCTGCCAGCTGTCAACAAGGTAATACAGGACGGGTGGCTGTGGTGAGGAGGGCTGGGCTGGGTCCCTGGAACCCAGCGTGGATGGGGTGGTTGTCTGGCCTCCCTCATCACCCGGGCACCTGCAATGGGGAGGGGAAGAAGCAGAGCCTGGGCTTTCTGAAGGAACCTCCGAAGGCAGAGACTCCTGAGCAAAGCTTCTGTCTGTGACTCACTTTCTCCCAGTGAGGAACGCAGGCAGTGGGGGAAGTGTGGGGTCTTGGACTGGAGACCTACAGGAGTTGAGGCCCAGCCTCTAGAAGCAGGAATTGCCCGAGAGACGGCGGGGTCCTGAGGACACGGGGTCCCGGGTATAAGGAATGGGGGAGCGGGACCCGAGCTCCCCTCCCAGGGCAGGCTGGGCCCCGGGGAGCACTGTCAGGGCTCTGGCCTAAGTCCCCACTGTCTCAGCTCCCTGGGCTTGGGTGGGGGACAGCGCCCCGGTATGGCCCCCTCCCGAGCCTGAGCTCTCTGTCCAGCTCTGCTGCTGTCCTGCCATGTGCGGCCTGGAGAAAATCACTGCCCCCCTCTGAGACTCAGTTTCCTCATCCATAAAGTGAGTAAAGTGAGGACAATAAAGCTGCCCTGCCTGCCTCCCGGGACAGCTGCCAGGCTAGGGTGTGGGAAGGCTTCGTGCTCGTGAAGCACCACACCCTGAGCTCTGCTGTCTGCCCTGAGCAGTGATGCTGCATCTGCAGCCAAAGTGTGGGGCCCTGCACGTGGGTCCAGATGGGGCGCCAAGGGGCCTGGCGGAGATGCTCCCGGAGTCCCCCTCCTTTGCAGAGACCCTCAGCTTGCACGCATGTCTGCTTCACCTCTGCCTCCCAGGCTTAGAAGCCCTCTTGGAAACTGGAGATCAGAGGGGTTGAGTAACCTGCGTGGATCACACAGCAGAGCAATAAGGGATGCAGCCGGGGTGCAAGCGCGCCTGGTTCCGGGGGTCCCAAACATCCCGGGTTTGGCCACTTGCCACTGACGAAATCCAAAGGCAGAGAAACAGCAGTGGTGAAACAAGAAAGGGATTTATTTTGGTGAGGCCAAGACTGTCTCCAGCGTGCCAAACGTACTTCCAGGTTTAGGTGCAAAAAATGTAGGGCAAAAATAGGTGGGTCCGTGCAGGTGGGCAGTGAAGGTCGGGGGGATCTCCGTGTTGGGGTCAATCACCGGTGGGGTCTGGCTGGCTCAGGGCAGTCCCGATTGCTTGAGGGGGTGGTCTGGGTTCCCAGCAGCGGTTGCATGGCCTGCAGGATCTTCTGCCCAATTTAAGAGATGAGCCAGAAAGAACTTCATCGACACGGAAATTTGAGGTGGCAACGGAGGGACTTGCGATCCTTCTAGGACAGGGCTCACGTCACCTCGTTCCCACCTGAGGCCCTCTGCTCACTTCAGAGCCACAGGGAAGGAGCAGCAGGGACTGGGGCTCCCTGGTATCTGGAGGGAGCTGGCTGCAGGGTCTGGAGGAAGCAGACGGGGGCCTCCCAGGGCTTAGCCCTACTCCCCATTCTGGAGTAACCACATACCTGAGGAAACATGGGTCTGATCCATTGTTTCTTGGGGGAAACAATGAGTCCAAAGCACTGCTTTTTGACCAGTATGGAACTCAGGGTAACCACAGTGACCTGGCCCCAGGCCAGAGAATTCCCAGATCCCTCCCGTCTTCCCTATATCTGCCAGACTCAGAGTTTACTCAGAGAACAGACTGGGCCTTCTATGTAGCGGGAGAGCCTTAGGGTAGACTCAAGGAAGGACTTTTGAGTGAGACTGAGACAGAATGAGACAGAATGAGGGCTTTGATGCCCAGCCTGGGCCCTCCTAAATACAGGGTGGCACTAGGGCTGCATGTGTTCTGGCCTGGAGGCAAGACCCTCTAGGAGCCTCCTGTTGGCCTCAGTCCCCTCCTGAGACCTGTCTGCTACTGCGTGTCTGTCCTCTGCAGGGTCCAGTTCTCTCAGGCTCCTGGAGCACAGGGATGCCGGGGGAGGGGAGAGCCTGTCTGGCCTGCCAGTGGCTGAGGGCAGAGATTTGGGGAAACCTGGAGGGTGAGAGGTGCTGTCAAAGGTCAAGGGTCAGGAGGTAGAGGAGGTGATGAATGGGGCCTCAACCTGGTGTCTGGCCTAGTCTGGTAGGCCCCCAGCTGGAGGAGACCAAAGGGGCTCAGGTTTGAAGCTCTCTTCCTGGCCCCACGGCCTGGAGGAGCCCTGGCCCCTCTGCCTTGCTCTTCCAAGGGTGTTTGGTCCCACCCCTCTCTCTGGGCACCCCTAGCTAAGCAGCCTTGCCTGTCCTACACTCCCATGCCCTACCCATACCAGGGAAACCTCATTACAGAACAGGATCTTCCAGATGCCAGCCCAGTCCTATCAGCTGGGGCTGCTCCGGCCTTCTGGGAGCTAGGGTGAACGGGAGACACCGTGGGCTGGCAGGGCCCAGGCCAGCTGTCTAGAGGGCTGCCCTTTGGTCCCTGGGGCCCAGACACTCCGTAGGGGGCCTTGCAGGTGACCCACGTGGTGGGGCGGGTGGGGGCTCTGGGCTGTCTCTCCTTGGCTCCTCATTCCTTTTTTGAATTTCTTTTCCCAAGTGTCATCCCTTTCTCAGCTCAGTGGGGGCCAAGCGGGTCCCCCTCGCCGCCACCGCTGCTGCCCCAGAATGTCTCCTCTGGTCCTGGCAGCCAGCTGATGGCCTCAGACACAGGCTCTAGCCCTTGGGGCATCCCCTCCTTCCCCAGTTCTACACTTGCAGCCCCCACAGCAACTGAGCTGCCTGCAGCATCCCCGCTCCCCTCTCTCCAGGCCTGGGCAACCTGCAGCCCTGGATGCAAGGCCTAATTGCTGTGGCTGTGTTCCTGGTCCTCGTGGCAATCGCCTTTGCTGTCAACCGCTTCTGGTGCCAGGAAGAGCCGTGAGTGCTGCCCGGGAAGGGGTGGCTGGGGGCAGGGTCTGCGCTGGTACAGGCAGGCCAGACCCCAGGACCACTGCTACTGCTCTAGGAGTGCTGAGAAGGGCCGTGGAAGCCCAGAGTCCAGGCCTGTCCCTGTGTGGAGTGACACTGAGCTGAAGGTCTCCCGGCCGGGAGCTCAGGCTCAGTGGCTGCCAGCCGGGCTCGTCGGCCCCCACAGCTCTGGTTCTCATTCACCGTGAGCTCCGGGGTCTTCTCTCCCTGAGGGCTCCGTGTCTCTCCGTAGTCAGGACGCTGGCCCAGCCTGTGATGGGGGCTTTGCAAACCTCTGGGAAGAAGGCTGCATCTTTCTTCAGGGTCAGGTGCCACACGCTGGGGTTCAGAGGGTCAGTGGGACACACACAGCCCCACGCTCCAGGCTCCCAGACCGGAAGGCCAGGAGCAATCACAGTGCAAGTTTCAGCTCCATGGTAGGAGGGAGTGCACTGTAGTGCTGCGCCTGCCCTGGTCTGGGGGCCCAGGGACGGTGGTCCAAGAGGGCTTCTGATGGCACATTTATTCTGAGGGCTGAGGAGTGCAGAGGAGCCAGGTTCAGGATAGAGCATGCAGGGGAAGGCATTGCAGTTGTGGGAAGAGGACACTGAGGGTACCAGGGGTTCCTGGGCAAAGGCAGGCACAGAATTAGGGAGGGGTGGGCTAAAATCCAGCCCACCCTGTGCTCACCACCCCTGGAGCAAGGCAGCACCTGCCGCTAGCTCTCACGAATCGGGCCGGGACCTGGGTGCAGCCCAGTGAGGGAACACCAGCTGCCACAGGTGGAGCGAGGGCCAGAGAGGTCCCCGGGGGGGCTGGCCAGGTGGGCAGGACCTGGGCCTAGCGGCCCTTGTACACACCGATACCCCGAACTTTGGGCTTTACCTTTCCTGCAACAGGACCCCAGCGCTAGCTTGTATGCTGGTCTTGGGAGGAGAGGTGGCTTGAGCACAACCGCTCTGGCTGCCCTGGGTGCACGCGTGGGTAGGGGCCCGCCTGCACGTGAGAAGGGCTAAACACGAGGCTGGAGAGTCTGGACTCTGGAGGCAGTGAGGGGACAGAGAGGGGACATGTGGCACCTGTGGAGGGGGCAGTGGATGGGGATGGCGGCGGGCAGGAGGGAGGAAGGACGGGATGAGCCCGGGCTTCTGACAGCCCCAAGCACCGAGGTGCGGAGCCCAAGATCCGGAGGCAGCTGCTGAGTGCACCGTGGGACACAGCAAGTCTGTGGCGCCCCGGGCGGGAGGGGTGGCCAGGGGAGGACAGGTGGCGCCCTGTAGAGAGTCCCTGTAAGAGCAGTTTCCAGTAGGTGGGGGCAGAGGTCACACTCCCGCGGTCTAAACTCGAATAAGAGGCCAGGAGCTTTTTGTTGGAAATGCTTCCTTTTCCAACGGACCCAAGCTCTGCCTTCAGTGGATGCGGACCCTGTGCACCCAGTCCCGGAGGAGGCCCCTGAGGAAGTTTGGGGGGACGCTAAGTCCCGCTGGGTCATGAGCCGAGGCCACAAGGGGGACCGCATGGGAGGCTGGGTGGTGGTCGGTGTGAGGCCGGGGTAAATCCATTGCACCTCTCGAGCTGGGACCTGAGGCCCCCACCCTGGAGGGGGGAGATGGCTGTGAAGGCCCGTGGGGCAGGGCCAGAGTCAGGCCACTGACAGCGCCCCGCTGGAGAGAGGGGCTTCTGTGGGGGGCCAGCCTCTGCCCTTGGGCTTGTGACAAGAGGTGCCTAGGACAGGGCCCGACTGGACAAGGGGGAGGACAAAGAGGGTCGGGACCCAGGGAGCCCCACTGATGAGCCTCGCCCACAGGGAGCCTGTGAACATGGTCATGACCGTTGCAAACAAGGCAGATGGGATCCTGGGAGGAACAGATGGAAGGTACTCCTTGACGGCGGCCAGCTTCAGGTGAGGCGCCGGTACAGGGCTGACCGCGCTGTGCTCCAGAAGGACCAGGTGTTCTGAGGGGTGGGGGGAGAAGGCTGGGGGGGCCAGGGAAGGAGGAGGACTCATGGGGGTTGGGGCTCAGCGAAGAGAGGAGCTCAGGGAGGCCTGTGAGGGCTTTGTGAGGATGCAGGGCTCCTGGGGGCCCAGCATGGGGATGGGGGCAGGGGTGCGGCCAGCGGACTGGGACTCACAGGGAGGGGTGCAGTGGGGGAGGGGACTCTGAAGGGAGTTGGGAGGACTCAATGCAGGGAGAGGGGTGAGGAGGGGAGGCAGCTCAGTGAGGAGATGGGCTCCATGAGGGGGTGGTTCAGTGGGGGCCCCGTGGAGTTCAGCGTAGGAGAGAGATGGGGCTCAGTGAAGGGTGCCGAGAGGCCTCCAGTCTCAGGTGCACCTGAGACCAGATGTGGGCAGGGGAAGTCCCTCTGGCACTCAAGTATATTTATTCTGGAAGAAACTGCCCACACAGGTACAAGACAGGGCAGGGAGAAGGGGATGGCCTGGGAAGGGTGATGACCCCTGTCTTCCTCTCTCAGGTCCAGTGAACACGAGAATGCCTATGAGAATATCCCTGAAGAGGAGGGCAATGTCCGCAGCACCCCCATGTGACCCCCACTTGCCTGTGGCCCTCCACCCTGACCCCAGATGCCTGTGACCGATGCCCGGCTCACCACACAAGCCTCTCCTCTACGCAGGAATCTACAATAAGAGGCTGACTCTCCCAACCCCACACCTCCCACCTTCCCTTGAATTGTCACCAGCCACAGTCAGGGCTGTGTCCAGGCTGGGGTTCAGCTGTGGCCCTAGGGTCTCCCACCCAATTCAATTCAGAAGACCCTTCAGAAGAGGACAGTCAGCTCGTCACCTCCTCCCTGCCTCACATCCACTCCCTGTAACCGTGAAATGGCTCTTATTTCTGTGAAATAAAGATGTTTTGTATTTCCAAGCCTGATGTTCCCAGGGCTCGGAAACAGCCCCTCAGGCTTATAGCCAGGCCCAACCTTGCTTTCTGAATCATAACAATCACCTTCCAAAGCCACTGTCATGGTGGCTTTGGAGGATTACGCAGGAAACCCTCTCTGGGAGGACCACGGGGCCAGGGAGCTCACCCATTCTGCCCCTTGTTCTAGGCAGAGACCCTCCTGCCGGTGCCTCCCCACCCCCCGACCTACCCTTAACAGCTATGCTTCTGGGCCTGTCTTTGCGCAGCACCGACACCCCTACCAAGTCTCTACGCTGCCTGGCTTTGCAGGTTGTTCGCTCATCCCCCGTCCAGGCGGCTCCAGCCTGCATGGGTTGGCCTTTGAGCATAAGAAGCTCCAAGACAGAGCTTGGGCTAGGACTTTGGCAGCCCAGCTGAGTCCCTGTCCCCTGCAGACTTATTATGGGACTTTGGGAGAGTCACAGTCCTCTCTGAACTAACCTTCCCCTCTGGGGAGGGTTTGCCCAGTTTCACCACAAACCTGGGGTAGAATCATCCTCGCCACTGGCTCCCAGTCCTGGGTGGACGTGGAGTCAGGGCACTGGGTCCCCTGGGGAATGAAGCAGGATGGGGGCGGGGAGAAGGTACTCCCAGCCGGCTGGCTGCCCCTGGAGGCCCCGCCTCCCTGTGACTGCCATTCTAAGGGAACAGAGTCTGGGGTGACAACCTGAGACAGACCCACCCAGGAGCACTCCCAGATCCAGAGGAGTGGGCCAGAGGGTAGGAGGCAGTCCACCCTGTTCCAACCAGTCCAAGCCCCCTTGCTCCCCACCACAGCCATTGCTCTGCTTTTCGAAGCCTTCAGACAAATACTCCAGGCAAGACCCATCTGAGATCCGAATTATCCTTTCTTACCACACGGAGGTCTAGTCTGCAGCCTGCAGGTAGAGGGAAGGACCCTGAGCAGTGACTCAGGACAAGTTGCCTCCCCTCTCTGACCTTCAGCTCAGTGAACTCTGGCTGTGTTCACGTGGGCAGATCCCTTCTCACCCACCACTGCCAGTTCAAACTGCATATTCCTTTTCCTTGGCTCTGCCAAGGGTCCTCTTCCTCTAGGAAGTCCTCCTTGACCAGACCAAAGGGCAGAGCCAGGGGGCCAGCCAGTCCAACCTCTACCTTACTGGAGGAGGGATGGAAGTTACTAGAGGGCCTCTGCTAAGGCACAAACACCCTCTTCTTCCTTTCTAGCCTCCTGGTCTGAACCTTCTGGCTGCTTGGATCTGATTCTCCCTGCATGAACCTCCATTCCCTCCCAGTGCTGCCCTGAGTTGTCCCTGAGGGGCTGGGGGGGGGGGTCGCGTCTGACCCTACCCGCCCTCCAGGGTAGAAGGCAGAGCCACCATCCCTTGGCCTCCGGGCAGCAAGTGCAGCCTGGCCTGTCTCACCTGTGAGGCGTCCCAGGGCCCAGGGGCGCCGCTGCAGTCCTCCTGGTTCCTGGGGCACCACCCGCTCCCTGCCTTGGCCTCTCTGGGAGTCTCCTCAGCCCCTCCCGGCTTGGACCAACCGGCATGGTGGGAACTCTGGGGTCCCTGCAGGTGCTGGGCTGGCACTGACCCGCCCCCACCCCGTGTTCCTGCCCTGGCAGGGGGCAGGGGGCACAGAGCTGCGGGCCCCAGAGCCCCCGGCCCTTATCGCCTCTTCCCACCTGCCAGCCTGGCCAGCGGAGGGAGGGAAAGGAGGCTGGGCCCGGGCCAGGGCGGTGCTTAATGACCCTCCGGGGCCTAATCTCAGGCTGGCAGCCGCCGAGTGGCTCAGGCTCGCTCCTGGAGGAGGCTGATAACACACCAGCTGGGCCCCCCACCATCTATCGGGGCTGCACAGCCAGCCCCAAGGGGCGGCGACCGGGGGCCTGGGGAAGGGGGCCACTGGGCTGAGGCGGGTGGGAGGCCAGCCCCGGGGGGAGGGGATTCTCTTCTCCTTGACTGACAGGCGGGGGGAGGGACCGGCCGCTGGAGGGAGGCTGGGGGGCCCCTCACGCGGTCCCTGCACCCGCGGGACTTCCTGCTCCCTCCCCGCCCTTTTCTCCCACCCAGTCCGGCTCCTCCTTTGCTCTCCCAGCCTTGATGGAGCTTCCCCTCCTCCACCGTCCACCTCTAGCCTCCTTCTCCCCCTTCCACCTGACCTAGCGCCCACCGTCCCCTCTCCCCTTGCATCCTCTCTGTTTCCAGTGGGTCCCCCTGTGCGCCCAGCCTGCCCAAGGGGCCCCGTGCCAGTCCCTTGGCTGGGGACAGTCCCTCGCCCTCCCTCATTGGCATCTCACTTCTTCTTCCTGTGGCATCATCTCCCCCGATCCCTCCACCTGCTCTCTGGGCAGAGCGCTCAGGTGGCCCGGCTCTGGCTGCAGGGCTCAGAGATCCTCTGACTGCCAGCGGACCTTGCTCTTCCTGCTTCCTGAAACAGGACTTGCACCTTCCTTTTCCCTTCCATACCTAAAACATGTGGATGTCACAGGGTCACAGTTTAGGTTACATCCAAACTCAGCCACTAAAGGCTCCACCCAGGAACTGCAGAGTTGGAGGTAGATTGCAGCACTATTAACTTCAGTTAGACTCGAAGAGGAACTTCCAGTCTGGAGTTGGTTTCAAAAAAAAAAAAAAGAACAAAAGGCTGGGGAATTCTATCTCCAGTGTCACCTGTTAGAGGGCAGAGTGCCAGATGGTTGGAATAATTTTCAAGATGACTTTCTTCATGCTCGGAGTAACATGAGCAGAAATACTGCTCCAAGGAGCCATCAGATGATCAAGACTACTGCTGGGCAGAGATTCCTCCCCCAGCTTAGGGTACAGGTGAGGGTGGGAGTGCAGAGTGGCCCTCCGGGGGTGATCCCAGTCCCATACACTTTGCCTTGTCCCCTTGGGCCAAGTTCACAGGGGACTCAGATAGTTGGAGCTATCAGAAGCTTCTCTGGGACCAGGGCGGGAGGCATCTGCCCCTCCCCCAGGTCTGGCCAGGGGCCTGGCCTCCCCCAGCTTGGCTCTTCTCCACATTCCCAGGTCCCCTTGGAAGTGCACACAGTGGCCAAGAGCTTGAGCTTGAGAATCATGCAGGCTCTGGTTCGAATTCCACATCTGTGCCTCACCGCTGGTGGACTGCCCAGCCCGTCCGCTGCTCCACCGGCTTGTCTTCCCTGTGCGGCTGCTGGGAGGACACAGATTGTGGGCTGCTCTTGCACCTGACACCACCAGGAAGCCCTCCAGGTGCCGGGGAAGCTCTGCGCCCACCCCTGGGCCTTTCTCTGGGCTATCCCAGCCACCTCTGTCCGCACCACCCTGCGGCTATTTAATTGCCAGGCCTGGGAGCTCCCCAAAGGCAGGAACGAGGTCACGTCCCTCTGCATCACCGGCACCCAGGACGGGGCTAGACTTGGGAAGGGAAGCCATAGGTGTGAGGAGGAAACCCAAAGGAAAGGGCTCAGCCCCTGTGGTTTGCCCAGGCGTATGTCTGTCCGTACCCTTCAGCACACAGAGGTGCAGAAAGACACGCGTGCTTGTGCATGCACATGTGCTCACACTTTCCTGCTCCCTGACCCTGATCCAAGGCCGCGGGGTCAGTGATGAGCCCCCAACATCTGTGCTCCACCCAGCCTCATCAGCCGGCCTGGAGCCTCGGCTGCCATCTGGTGGCCACGCTCAATAGAAAGGGCAGACGAGTAGAGCTTTTGAACTCGAGCTGAAGTCAATCGGAGAAAGACAAACAGTGTATGTTCTCATTCATTTGGGGAATATAAATAATAGTGAAAGGGAATATGAGGGAAGGGAGAAGAAATGTGTGGGAAATATCAGGAAGGGAGACAGAACATAAAGACTCCTAACTCTGGGAAACGAACTAGGGGTGGTGGAAGGGGAGGAGAGAGGGGGGTGGGGGTGAATGGGTGACGGGCACTGAGGGGGGCACTTGACGGGATGAGCACTGGGTGTTATTCTGTATGTTGGTAAATTAAACACCAATAAAAAATTAATTTATTAAAAAAATAAGTAAAATAGACTTGTAAAGTGAAAAAATAAAAATAAAAAAAAATAAAAAGAAGCTCTTTCCTTCTTAGGTGCTGTTCCAGAGGCTTTCCCTCGGTCCAGCTCCAGGGACACCCCTCCCCCTCCCCCAGGCTGTGCCAGCACCTTACCTTACCGTAGGCTTCAAGGGCAGCTGGCCTCCAGGGCCCCCTCCCTGTGGCCCCAGAGGCCAAGCCTGTGACTACCTTAGGTTGCAAGCCCTACCGGTGGTGGTGGTGGGGGGCAGGCTCTTGGGGCCTTCATCATCCTGCTCCTGATGACACACTTCGCTTTCTTTCAGAAATGATCTGGGATCCCAGTGGTTTCCACCCTGGTGTGCTATTCCAGAGGATAAGGGATGACAAAGTTTCTAGGATATGTTCCTTGTTGACTCCCTGGAGAAGCAAAATAGAGGGAGCTTGATGAGAGAAAGAGACAGGAGGAGGAGGAAAGAGAGAAAAAGAGAGAGAAATCAAGGACGAGTTCCAGTATTGTCTGAGCAAGTTGGAAGATGGTGGAATCTGGGACATTGAGCTGGGCTATGCAGGCCATGTCTCCACTAAATCAGGCCCTGCTAGGGATCCCTGGGTGGTTCAGTGCTTTAGCACCTGCCTTCGGCCCAGGGTGTGATCTTGGAGTCCTGGGATCTAGTCCCACATAGGGCTCCCTACAGGGAGCCTGCTTCTCCCTCTGCCTGTGTCTCTGTCTCTGTCTCTCTCTCTGTCTCTCATGAATAAATAAACAAAATCTTAAAAAAAAAATCAGGCCTGCAAGCTAGTTCAGGCCTGTGTCTGCCTGAAGGGAGGGAGCGCCTTTTCCTGCTTCTCACCAAGGCACCATATAGCCTTGTGAATGGCACTGAGAATGGCAGGTACCAGGGGACAAGCACGAATGTGTGTGTGCGTGTGTGTGTGTGTGTGTGTGTGTGTGTGTGTGGTGGGGTAAGGATGCATTTATGGGCGTGTGGAAATGAGA